CCTTTTCTGTGACCTTCCACTGTGCCAGGTGGGCACCTGCAGCCCACTTCAGGTGGGACTGAGCACCCCTGAGGTCCCCCAGCTAGATCCTGGCTCCAAGGGAGAGTCCCATGCACCCATCTGGGACCCAGTTTCCAGCTGATAACAACAGCCCACAACAAGACTTATCTGGATGTAACTGATAAGATCCTCCACGAGTGTTAAATTCACTAAAACCAACAGAGTGCTGGTGATTCACATTAATGGAGGACGTGGATTGTCATGAATAAAATCAGTCACAAAGTAATGTGTCACTCCCCCTGCTTGCATTTCTTGATGCAACGAGAGCACAGAAATAACCCCTGTGAGCACCTGGAAAGCCAGGTGTGGGGCAATGCAGCTGGAGACCAGCCCGGGCAAGAGCAGAAGTTACAGGGAGGAGAAAAATCACTTCAGGAATCTAATTCCCCAGTTTAACACACTCCTGCTTCCTAAAGGACATTTCTCTCTGGGTGGCTTAGAGCAAAGGGATCCTATGCCTCCTTTCACTGACTAAACCACAGTGTGCACACTTTATTTCAAAGAAAGACATTTTCTGCCATGTTTATTCTAAGTCCTTACATTATTCTGGTATTTTTTGATAGCTGCCACATCCCACTCTAGATCATTCATCACGAGGCATTATTTGCTTATTTTCCAGCAGTCTGCATCCCATCTTTATCTCCACTATTGGGATTGCTCCTGTCCCAGGAGCTCTCAATCCCATTCTCTCCTATAGGGAGAATTTCGAACCCTTTCTCCTCCTTTCCTGGCCTCCCTCTCCTGGAGTTTTTGGCTGCCAGCTCTCTCCATCTCTTCCTCCCAGCCTGAAAAGAAGAACACAGTGACTCTGCACAAAGTGCCCTGCTCACTGTCTGGTCCGGGAAACAGGGCCTGGAGTGGGATGTATGGGAAAAATCCTGCTCATCTCCTGATGCTCTGAAACACAGTACATCCCATATGGTCAGGATCTTCAGAGGATTTTGCAACTAAATTCTTAACAGCTCCCTGCTGATTGCGTGCAAGTGGCAATTTTTCAAAGCTGAGTGTTTGGCCAAGGCTTGGAGGCTTTTTTCCCCCCACTGCTGGAGCAGTAAATGATGTATCTGTGACCAAAACACCAAACCTTCAGCCCTTGAGCCAGAACACAGACATGCAAACATTTCTTAATTAAACAGTTGTAAAATAATTTTAGCAAGGGCAGTTACCTCCTTAGCGGGAATTACTGAACTTTGCCCAAAAAAATCAATTTGAGGTAAATAAATTGCATGGAAAGTCTCTGCCTGATGACTGTCAAAGCTGCCAGGAAACAATAAAATTAAAAAAGGGTCTTACACTAAGAAGTCTCAGGTTGTGATTCCACTAGGTCTGACTGTAAAATAGTGCTAATGTAATTTTAAAAAAGATGTTAAGAATAAAAGAGGACATTGTAGCATAAGCACTTGACAGTGTCTGAGAAGGCCAAGCCTGTACCTTCATGAGATCTCTGCTTGAAATCCCTTCAATGCAAGGCTTTCACTCTGTTTAATTTTAGTACAGAACCAGTTTAGAACACTTGTTTTACAACGTTTTCAACAGAAGACAAATCCTTGGCTCCAAAAATTAATCTCATGCAAAGAATAGAAACTCAGGATTCAGAAATTTACAAAGAGATTTATGAGTTCTTCAGTTGCATAAGAATAAAAAGAATTAGCTAATTGTTGAGAAATACAGACCAAACTGAAAATGCTACATAAAAAATATAACAATAAAATTCACATTAAATTATTTATTCAGTAATAAACAGTGACACTTTTCTTTATACAAAGCCCCACCCCCCACTCCACCCCATCAGTTTTGATGAGAGGGGCAAATATTTCAATGGAGTTTTGAGGGAAGCAAGGTGGGAAAACAGGTGGGGGAAGAGAGGGACCCTGATTTGACTGATGGTTTTAAACAACAACTACAAAGAGCGAGCAGGGAAAGTGCAGCACAGTTCTGCAGATACTTCAGTCAATTACTGTAAACCTCAAACTCCTATAAACACTGGTTGTACAGGTACCAAATACCTGAGCCCCAGCTCACCAGAATCAAGGCTGGACCAGTCCCCAGGCCACCACTGCACTGCAATTCAGGCATCCAAGGCTGGTCCCAACCAGCTCAATTCCACTGAAGTTTTCCAGGGACACTGAGGGGAGGGAACAGCCACACTGCACAGCTGATTTATATTGGAGGCTTGAGCCTTTGAGCAGGTGCATGAAATAACTGCAGTGTTTTAATGACCCCCATCCCTAAACTTCCTTTATTGGGAGCTGAAAAAATAAAAATGGTGCATCTCCCAGGGAACTCCAGCCCAGCTTTCAGAGGTCCCACCGTGGTGGCTTGGAGACTGCAGAGCAAGAACTGGGAGAGCAGACCAAGGGTAGCTAAAACATGGCTTTCCAGGGATATTTACAGTTCCCCTTGGCAACCAGTTCACCCCATAAGTGTAAACCTGCTGACACAGCCTAAATTTAGTATATTGAGCAGTGACTGCCCAACCATGTGCATATAATTCATCTCTGCTCCACCAGCTCAACCTTTCCAAGACCACTCCAGCCTCTCCTGGATTTTGAACTTGCTCAGGCAAGAGAACCTTACTTTATAAAAGGGGCATCTTCCTGCACCACAACTCTCAGATTGTGCCCATAGGGCTAATATGTAAAAGTAGTATTTATTTTTAAATACTTTCCTGCTTTACATGAGATTTTAGTTCCAAACAACATGCATCAACTTCTTTAAAAACCCACACACAAACAGTATTTATCATCCAAATACCCTTTAGAAGCTCAAAGGCTGACATACTAAAACCAATAATTCCACCTGAAAAATATATATATTTCTAAATTGTTTATAAGGAAATATATAGGTTGCTGGTCCACTGATATGGAGCAAAAGCTTGTACCTGAAATTAATTAAAATAATCATAATCAGAGATAGGCTTGTCTGCTGAAAGGCAATATATTGCACCTCTCTACATAACTGCTTATTTCATGATCATCTTTACAGATGAAAATCAGGTGATTTGAAAGGGTTTTTTTAAATGTGTTTTTATTGTGTTTGGGTTTTTCTAACAAGTAGGGAAAAAATTCACTCCTGAGTTAACAGAGAATGCAATAAAATGCCTACATTTTCCATCTCAGATGAGATCTGATGAAGTAATTCACTTCATTTCCAAAGGACATGCACTTGAGGCACGAGAGTGGAACTGAGGGAACCAGGTTTAGCTACATGTGAATGTGTATAAATATAATCGTAGAGAAATATATCCATACACATAAAGAATTGTGGGAGGGGGACAGCAAGGCATATGTAACAGCCTGGAAGCAGAAAGGCTGGGTGAGGCAAGGCAATCCTAAGGGCAGGATGGGGGAAATGTGACATCCCCCTCCCTCTCTGAATGCTGTGATGAGAGATCTGTTCTCAAAAGTGTTTTGATGCAGGTGTGGATGATTGAGACAAAACTGCCATTCATTGAGGACCACCTGAACTTGTGTGTCTGGTGAGGGAAGGAATCAGAACAGAGTCCATTCTACTATTGCCAAGTGCAGCTTATTCAGCTCTCCAGAAATTCCAGAAATCCAATCTCCTGGGCAGTCAGCACCTGCACTATTCCATCTTCTTGTTGGGATGGAAATGGGCCATTGGAAAAAACTGGCAGATTATTTGAACCCAAATGAAGACATAAAAATTGATGTCAGATTTCTCAACATTAACAGGAATAAAATAAAATCCTGGACAACTTTAAGGAGGTCAGTATTTTGAGTTTCTTGAAATAAAACAATAACTTCCCTATGTTCTCCCAGAAACAGTGACAGAGCACAACATGTTTTATAAGCCCTCTCAAAATGAATCATCCACTTTCTTGGGACAGCATCAGAACACACCACACATAAAAAGAATGAAACAACTCCTTTAGTAATGCATTAAGACACACAACTTATCTGTGACCTGATTTCAAGGGCCTTTTTTTTTCCCCCTATCTGAAGAAACACGAGCAGTCTCAACCTCTCTGCTCCTTCTCGCTGCCATCGATTCCCCACCACGGCAGGCGAGCCCTCCCCTCCTCTTCCAAGAGCAAAACCATGGCAGCATCTGCTTCTCATAAGCACTTCTGTGCGTGTGTGCAAGTGTGCGTGTATGGGAAAGAGGGACAGAAGGAAATCTGCTGAATTTAACTTAAAAGTTTGTCACAGGGCAGGGTGGGTTTGGTTTTTTTTTCCCTTTTCCATCCCTCATATCGTAGAACCTAGAAGTAGGGCTACTGCTACGTACTTAGGCTTTTCCTTTCTTGTTAGCACAAGTGACAATTAGTGAGTGAGGGGAAAAGGAGAATTTATTTCACTTTCAAAATCGACAGACTGATGCATGAATGGCTACAGACAACAGCAGGTTTTTATTGGCACTTGTCACCCAGAGTTTGCAGAAGTTCTGCCAGCTCAGTCCCAGGTTCAGCAGTAGAAACTGGGTGCAGAACAGTAGTCCCAGATGTGGAAGAGGCAACAGCTTTCCCACTTCTTCATCCCCACTAGCCAACAACTCAGTGATACAATCCAGAAAGGAATTCCAGTGCAAACTGTGGGCCTGTTTCATTCCTGTCCCGTTTTGCTTTAACATCTGTAGGGAACCAGAGGAGCTCCCTCATAGTATGAGCTTGTGAAGGGGAAGGCAGTGAGCTGACTGCTCTTATTAGGCTTTATAATATTTCAGGAGGTCAAATACACCTCAAAAAAAAAAAAAAATCTGCCTTTTCTTCTGCTTCCCCTGCCACCCAAATTCTCCATCCTTTAAGTTCAATGAGGGCACAGTGTTTCTTTGATTTCCACCTTTGCCAAGCCCAGGGTGGGGGAAAGAAAAAAAAAAAGAAAACCGAAAAAAAAAAAAAAAGAAAACACTTAGATTTAATTTCCTCCCAGTATTTCTAATACTGTGAGCATCCCTAAGTCAGAACTCTTTTTCTTGAGATATTTCCTGAACTGCACTGTCCTGATAAGAAAGTGAACTATGGCAGCTGGTACTCCATTCCCTCCCATACAGTTTTCCCACTGCATTATGAATTTATTGACAAATTGAGGAGCTAGCTCCACCAGAGCAGCAATAATAGAGAGAACTGTCATGAGAGTGAAATTTATTGAGAGAAAGAAATACTGATGGACTACAAAGATGAGGAAAAAAACCCCACCACATTTAATTCATCATCCCAACACAGAGACTACAACCTTATTACTTTAAAGCAATATTTAAGCATAGTCCATTCAGCTTTTATATGCTGTCTCAAACTTCAAATCAGCAAGGCAGAGACTTAAGGGTCTTGCCAAATTGTGATATAATCCTAATGCCTCCAGTGCTGGCATGTCAAGCCCTCTGCCTTGACAAGGAAGAATGCTCAACACCTCACAGGATCAAGTTCAAAAAGCCTGGAGGGAAGCAGCAGTGCAGGGAACCTCGGAGTGGCATGCACTTCCCAGCACCCCCCTCCCCTTTCACACACAGATCCATGTGGTCTCCACCTGACAAAACTACATTTACAACGCTCAGTGCCTTAAAATTAAACTCCTTCTTATCTCAACCATGTGTTTATATCTTGGTTTTTCCACTCAGCCGGTGTGCCTTTCAACCAGAGATGTCTGAGAGTGACAGAAATACAATGCTTTGTAAGAGCCTTAGGAAATACTACAGAGGGACCCTGGGTGCACAGAGCAGAAAGGCAACATCTCCAAGCAACAGCCAGGTCCTGATCCTGGGCTGCCCTCAGTCCCAGCTAAGCACATGGTGACACTTGCTGGAGTCCCCAGGGGCTGAGCACGGAGCCTGATGCAGGGCGACCGCACAGCCCCTACCCAAGATTTGATCGCGCTTACCTTGGCTCCAACCACAGCCTTCCCTACACAGGTCAGAGCCAAAGCCCAGCCCAGGGGGGGTTTCCCAAGCAGAGGGCTGTGCTTTCCACGTGGCCACGGTGCTGTTCCAAGGCCAGGCTCTGCTCCCGAGAGCCGCCAAGCCCCGGGGTGTGCAGGCTCGGCGCGCGCGGCTGCTTCCGACTCCGCAAACGCATCCTGGAGTCAACGGGAGATGGGAACTGCAGTGCTTCCCTTGAGCTGCCCAGCACACAGAGCAGGCCAGCTGAAAACCTTTTGTTTCCACAAGCCACACATTTTAGAAAAAAAATGGATTTTTAATATTTTTTTTTTCCCTGAATATTGATGTTTTAAGTTACCACCCTGAAATGGCTTAGCTGAATGTCCTGCCTGTGAGATTGTACTGCAACATAACCCACAGGGAACTGTGATCAACTTCAATGGATCACAGATGAGGCCCATTATTTGTGTCTGATTTAAGAGTATTTGGTCCATTTTGAAAGAATGGATGGGTTGGAAATGCAGTTGCTGTAACCTCAAGCTTTGCTCTGTGCTAAAGGTGTTTGTGAGTTTCTGACAATCAGCACGGCACAAAGCCACCTTTAGAAGCAAGAAAAACAAAACCACTTTTACTACAATCTAACACCAGGAAAAAAATATTTGGCTGAAACTTCAGATGTGAATTATACTTGCTTAAGCTAGAACAAAAGGACAAAAACATCAGAATCTAGTAAAGTGGAAACAAAGGAGTTTAGCTCTTTAAAATGAAAGGAAAGATAGACATTTGAGGTAACAAACAAAAAAACCCAAAATGCACAAACACATCACAGACATCTAAAAATAGCATTTTATACATTTTTGCCAGTGCTTCTCTGAGAGCAAGTTCTTTAAACAGAACTTAACAATTTTACAATTTTTTTAAAAAAATATGTCATCCTAAAATAGCCCATCAATCCTTACCCAAACTTTCTGTATTTCTACAAAAATAGATGCACAAAGAGCTACAAAATACTGTATTCCTGAAAGAAGGCGCACTGTAGTCAAGGCAGAGTCTTTTTCCTGACTATTGAGACTGTTCATAAAAATATCAAGCTGAACAAAACAAAACACTGTTAAAGGAGCAGAAAGGAGTTAGGTTGCCCAGCTGCAGCAGGCTCAGATGAGGAAAGAAAGAAAAGTTAGGTTTCTGGCTTTTTTTTTTCCAACACTGTGGGACCCATAAATGGCCTTACAAATAAAAGGCTCAATAGCAAAACCAGAATAGTTGGCCCTTCATCTTCATGTGTGTCCTTTGCTCCACGCAGAAGGAGTCAACCACTGCTGCATCACCCTGCATCACCAGCTCTGCCGACTCCAGCTCTAGCTGGCCTCAATTTCTCTGTACTTCAGAACCAAGCAGTTTCCTTGCTCTTGTCCTGATGCTGTAGACCTACATTTCAGGAGAGAAAAGGAAAATAATTAATATTAATAAAATATGAATTAATAAATTCGATGGTTTTTTTTCCTTCCCCTTCCCCAAGCAACTGAAGTAAGGATAAACAAGTTTTGATTTTAAAAAATAAAGAAAAGAAAAATAGAGAAGTGAAAAAACTCCAAACCACAATTTAACAGTAATTTAACAGTTTAAAGGACTTGTTAGCAACAGTGTTACTGCCCCAAACTTTTTCGTTTATGAGGGGTAAAATTAAACTATATTGACGTTTGATCTTGGCTCAAGCATTTCAGAAATGGTGATAAAATTCCTGTATGTGCTTCCTTGGTTTGAGCTAATGTGGAGCACGGCATGGAGTGAAAAAATCCTCCATAAAGGTCTGCATCAATTACCCAGTATACAGCAGAGCAATATTTCCAGGCAGGGTCCAGCCACAGACACCATCTCCTCTAGAAAATGCCTGGGACACTTCAGGATTTCACAGTTTCTGTGGCATTTCACCTCGCAGAGGAGAGAGGGAAAATGTTCCTGCAGCAGGCAAAAAACCCCAAATAATTTCACCTACAGAGTGCAAGATTTTCAGCCAAGAATGGCTAGTGCTTCCACATGGGAAAAATTAATGGTTTTCAGCTTGCATTTGTTATGAGTTCCTCTAACGTTTTCCTTTGTAAAAAAGTGAGGACTATCTAATAAATGTGGTGCTATGTTGTGGCTTTAGCATTAGAGACTTGAATCTCTATAATCTGGGATTTCTCTGCTCCAGAGGGATCCAATCCCTAGATTCACACCTAACAGGGCATAAACCTCAAATCCAGACAACAGACAGGGAGGTGCAGATTAAATTTCCCAAAGAAGATACATTCTTGCTCCTTTATAGCCAAAGTAAAGGACCGAGATGCAGGCACGTATTTTCAGAGGTAGGAAGGAACTCAATTAAAACCTGCCCTTTGATGTTTTGAGGCAAGTAAATCACATTTTATGAAATGAAGGTCTATTTCCCACTATAAATCGTCATTCCTGCAGTGTACCAAGACACCTGACTTGCTAAGAATTTAGGGTTAATTTCACCACTAATGTAAACAGGGGCAACTCCAGACCTCAAGGATGTTGTAACCACTGGAACTCCATGTTCATTTGATGTTTAACCTGTGAAAAGTGACAGATCCTTGTGCTAGGCATGGCTCTCATTTCCAAATCCAGTCACACAGTGAACATGAAAGAAGACCCAGAAGTTTTCAAAAAGCCTAACAGGCATGGAGGATTCAGATCTTACAATTACCTCATTGCTTTAAGATTATAAACAGTTAAATATTTAATGATGGTAACATTTCAGAGCTGAGCTGCAAAGCAATGAGCACTCACACAAAAGATGAGAGCATATGGCTCTATCCAAGTGAGGATTCCCAAGCAGGGAACAAACACTTGTGTGTCCAGCAGTGAAGAGAAAGGGAAAGCAGAGCCCATGGGTGTGGTGCACCAAACCTTGTTCAATGCTTTCTGCTCCCTTTCACATGCACTTGTACCTGTTCCTTCAGACTGGAAAAACTGGGATATCCCTCAGCTAGAGCATGCCTACAAAAACATGTTCAGAGGCTCTTCATTTAATGAAGATGTCTCTTTGTTGCTTAAGAGCTATTTGTTTCCCTGGCATCATCATACACAGAGAGTCATAATGAACTGCTGCTAGTCCCCTTCGAAGCTCCCTTAATGTTAGTGATGACAATTTGGGGTTATTTTCCCCTACTGCTTACAATTTTTTAAAACAAATAACCCAAACAGAGTCAGACAGCAGAAACAGAAACCTTTCAGAGCATAAAGAAGTCATTTAAGTACACCAGTGGACCACTAAAGGACACCAGAGGCCATGGAAGCATGTAAGAAGAGAAACAGGTTATATAGCAGCTTAAAAAAAAATGACATACACACACATGTTTAAGAGATCTTCCACCTGACAGTAGCAGGTGGTAGAAGGGGAATAACTAGCTGAACAGAGCTGAGCCTTCCTAGGCAGGTGTCCTTGCAAGACACAAATAACTGCAACAAGGAGGTTTAAGGTATAGCTACGGACTCTAAACAGCAAGAGAAAATCATACAAAAAACCAAACTTGTCCTATTTACAGAAGTGAATGTGAAACACTTTTCATGCTTTTTCCTGGTTATATTCCTATCTCCTTCAAGGCAAGGCCATCTGCAGTCCTAATACAGAATCCAAGGCCTGCTACTCACCCAGAGCTTCCACGTGCAGTGCAAGTGCTGCAGTGCTTTCCTCTTAGCAAGAAAATCCTCACTTGCACTGCATGACCAGCACTGCCACTCCAGCAAAATTCCCCTTCCCTGGGACACCAACATTATACCCGATTTCCACACAAACATTATTCAGGTTCTGTGGGAACACCTAAGCAAACTTAGTGAGCTGTGACAAACTTGTGGGATGTTTGTGAACAGACAAACACACAGAAGGGATTGGATTGCCCCTCAAACTCCAAATTCAATGTATCACACTGGCATATGGGCATTTCCAAAAGGGGATTTTCCACTGTAAACCAGGACTAAAGGATGGTGACTAGTTCACCTAAATTCGAAGTTATTCACCTCAATGTGTTTAACTCTACAGGATAAAGAGCCTGCACCTCAATTTTAATAGACTTACAGCCGCCACTCGTACCAAAGTCCTGCTTTGCTTTAAGAGTGCTGGGGCTGCAGGAAGCCTCCTCCAGCACATCTGTCCAACAGCAGGACAGGATATCCTCCTGGGCTCTGCAGTGGCAAGGCAAGTTGCTCTGCTCTCCTCCCCTAGGCTGCCAGCAGCACAGCCAAATCCCACTGCTCAGGTGTGCAAGACATCTCCCACCCATAGCACTGATGGCAATAACCACCAGCAATAACACTGCAAGACACAAATTCCCCTTCCCAACCCCTGATCTTCAGTGCTGGACATGGCTTAAACATAGGCAGGAAGCTTTAGTGGTGACACTGAATTATGGCTGCAGCCCTGAGCCACAGCAGAGCTGGTGACAGCCCGACCCTGCTTTGCTTGACACCAGCAGACCTAAACTCCAAAAAACCTGTGCTTATTCCAACGTGTTTATATCAATGCTTGACATGAAATGTACCTTTATATTGAGCACTGTAGCTTGTGCACTGTGGAAAGACACTACACACCAGCAGACACAAACCTAGCCAGTTTTAATAGCTCTTGATGTAGACCAGCATTTTCTTTAATCCCTCTTGTACTGTTACAGAAGCTTCTAAAAGGGTTAATTTGCAGCCTGCAACGTGAGGATTAAGCCACATTTAATGGCAATCAGGTAGCTAAATCCTTCTTCATCCCCTAGAACAGGACCATGTAAGTTCAAACAGATGTGCAAGACAGATCAATAGTTTGTCAGCTCTGTGAAGGGCACTGCACTCATGTCCCACACAACATGTTCTGAAACATAAATTCCCAAACTACACCGTGCATGCAGTGGGAACCTCCTCTCACCCTCTGAAGTCATTCAGCACCATCCATTCATGAGATCGATTATTTGGCTTGGCATGGCAGAGATGCAACAATGTAGCTGGAGGAGGGTAAGATTACAGCCAGCCTGCCCTGATCCCAGCACTACCATCCCACATAATTCAGCGTGAGGAGTTTTGCAAATGTTCCTATAATCACATGTGATAGTAGCACAAGGAATGTGACCCGTGGTAAAAGAGGGAGAATTAGTTTGTAAGAGACGGACTCCAAAAGGCAATGTCCAGGTTTAGACCAAATGAACTTTTTGAACATAAATCACCTGAAGCTCATGGAATCTGATATACTGACAGCTCCACAGGTTATTTTCTCCAGGGATATATGAGCAAACACTTTCGGAACTGACAAATTCTTGCCACCATGGCCTTACCCAACTCTGGAGAAAGCACTTCATGTCACTAAAAGCCAGTTCACTCTTCCAGGCCCTTGAGTTTGTACCCTCTCTGTTGAGATAGCTGTTTGACATTAGAGTTAAATGTAAGGAAATGCTGTGTGATGTGGAGATTTATCCAGTATAATCTGCTTTCCCTGAAGTGCACGTGAAGCAAGTGCTGGATGTGACTCCATGTGGTACTGGAGCAGCCCCCTCGTCTCCCCACACCTTCCATGGGATGACACTGCTGGATGTGCACACAAAATTCTGACACAATTGAGCTCCCTCTTCTCTCCACACCTCCAGTGCCTGTAACCAAAGCATTTCTCTCAACTGCACAAGCTGCAGGCAAGGCTGAAAAGGAAACTCAGCTTTCCTGCCCTTCCCAGCAAGCTGGTGCTTGGAAAGCACAGGAGAGATGCGTGTGCAGGGGAAGAGAGCAAGTAATTGTAATGTCACAGGTTTCCACTACCTGCTGTGCTTCATTGCTTGCACCCTTGTTTCCAAAACTGGGGCTGCTTAACAAGGTTTTGCTGTTGTGTTTCAGTGTGTGACCCTTTTAAATAGTCTCAAACTATTCTCTGTTTCTTCAAACCAGTCACGCATTTCCCCTCTTTCTTTTTCCCCACAGGAACTCATACACTAAAACCCACACAATCAAGGCATGGGTCAGAAGTTAACAGTTCAGATCTTTTCCACTGCTTCCCACACTGAGCAACTCAAAGACACGCAAGGCACTGCCAAATCAGGATCCTGAAAAAAATTATCACCCAACTGTACCCTTCCACAAGGATTTTCTCTAGGAGCAGGCAGCACCAAGCCAAAGGTCTGTTTGCTCTCTAAGGCAGTGCTAGGACCCAGAGTTCTTTTTGAGGTACTTGCTCTCAAAAACAACTCACAGTCTAGTCTGGACTTGTACCTAAGCCATGCAGTGGTTTCTCCTGACTGACTATTCCTTACACAGCTCTCCATTCCATCCCCAAAAGGTTAAGCCAAGTACCAGGGCTCTGCAGGTGGACTGCTGGGGCTGGCTCCAAGAGGGATTGTCCCTTACACCAGTGGCAGTGACAGTCTGCTCATGCTTCAGAGAAGGCAGCTCACTCCCCTTATGGACTTTGTCACAAAGGAAAATCTCAGGATCCCAGTCTGGTCAGTTTATCATTCTGTACCCAAAAGCATAAAATATAATTATTCTTGTATCACTGGTTTAGCTGAAAATACTATTCATGTATATATTATCCAGTGTTAAGAATCCTGGTAAGCTTTCTCTTTGGTTTTATTGACATCAAGACAGCAAGTGGCATAGTATTTCGAGATTATTACTGGTTCCCAGTAGCTTTAAAGGGAAGAGACAGAGATTTGTATTAGGTTCACAGTATCTCATCTTTAAGAAACAGCCTTTCCCCACCCCTCCATTCTTTGTTCCCCAACCCACTAATCAAGGCAAAGAAGTGCTTCTCACACATTAAACCAGTCACAAGGAGCTATCAAAAAGGGAGACAGATACTTAAAGGGGACAAAGATACAAACCTAGTGTTTCTTTAATCTGATAACATACTGTCTTTAAGAAGTACTAATCTGCGAGGATTGCTGCTGGTGAGATAAATATAAAACCAAAAAAGAAGCCCTCAGTGGGGCCTACGAACTCCAGGATGGATGCACTGGGAACTGTCAATCACCTGATTGCAAGAAACTTCAAATCCTGGGGGCTGCCAGACAGCTTCTAATACTGAGACAAGAGGCTCAAAACTCTCAGACACAGATGGAGTTCGTGGTCTGTAGTTCAGACTACAGACCCCGCAGTAAAAGGAATTTAATTCACACACCTCTGCCTAGACTCTATAGAAAGATGTTTGGTTTGATGGCAAGCACAGCTCAATCAGCACCTCTATTCTCCATGTGACACCTGGATACTACACAGGAAGGAAAGGCTGAGCTGTTCCACCTCAAGATGCACTCCTCATGTACTGCAAGTTATTAGTTTACTGGAGCTGTATGTTGCACATATGAACTAGCTGAAGAAGCAATTAATTGTGCTTATGGAAGCATAATTAGTATTTTCCCACAATATTGAAACAAGAAGAAACAAACAAAAAACGTAGATCATCTGGCCTGAACGGGACCAAGATAAAGGTGTCTCAGCCAAAGAGAGACAGAATGGTCTGACAGCAATTACAGGAGGGACTCCCACCTGGAAACACATTCGGACACGGCTCTGAGAGCCAGCCCCGCCTCATCCGCAAGGAACTTTACCACCCTGCTCGAACACCACCAACCGACCCAAAACCCGACAGCGCCTCACCTGCCTCGAAGCCAAAACCCGGCACGATGTCCACGGTCCCGTGGAAGGCTCCGGCCCAGGCTGAGGTAGCGCCGGTGACGGCGGCGGGGTCTGCCTTGGCCCCGTCGCCCTGCGGTGCCGGGATCCTGGCGGAGCGCACCGAGGGCAGCAGCAGCGAGCCATAGCGGCCGGCGGGGTGGCCGGGAGCGCCGGCGTGGTGGCGGTGCACGTACACGTCGTGCATGTGTGCGTACGGGGGGCTCACCTGAGACGCCGCTAAAGGGTAGTGCCAGGACTCGGAGGCGGCTGGGGGAGGAGGTGGGGCAGTCTGGTGAAGGGCATGTCCCGGCCAGCTGCTGGGATCTGGTGTTGGGAAGGTGCCTGGTGCAGTCACGGGGAAATCGGGGTGCACTCCGCTTAAGCAGGGTGGAGGAGGAGGATGCTGGTAAGAGCTGGTCCAAAACGAGGTTGGGAAGCCGCTCCTTTGGCTTGAAATGGTTGAGCTTTCTGTAGGGAGGGAAGGAGGGAAGCATGACTGAAGCTGCGCAACGCATTTCATGACAAAACCCCCTCCAGTGATTTGCTACTCATATTTCATGACAAAACCTCCCCAATGATTTGCTACTCTCTGAAGTTTGTAACAAGCTTCCTCAGTAAATACAGAATCACCGGACATTTGAGGTAGGAGGATTGTCTAGTCCAATTCCCCTGCTCAAGTTGGAGCAGTTGTCCAGGACCATGACCACTCAGATTTTGAGTGAGTTCCACAGCATCTCAAAAAAAAAAAAAAACCCAAAACAACAAGCAACCTAAAAAACCCAACAAAACAAAAAGTTTTCTTGTGTTGAGATGGAATTTCCTGTTTTCTCTGCCTATTGCCTCCTGTTCTGTCAGCAATCATTACTGAAGGGAGTCTAGCTTCCCCATCTCTGTTCCATCAGGTTTTCACATATATAAGATCCCCTCCCCCCCAAGAAGGTTTTTCTTCTTCAGGCTGTAGAGTCAGAGCCTTCTCAAGATCTTGGTACAGAAATTGTGAGGAGATACTAATTCCTGCCCAGACTAGGGCACATAATTTAGCAAGACAGCTGCTTTGGTTGCAAAAGCTCCTGAGGAAAAAGAACCAGCTCACACTACAGAGCAGGAAACATTTGGCTAAAAGAACACCTGATTTTCTCAAATTAATTGCATGCTATGATGGGATAAACATCATATCCAACACAGCTTATATTAGTCCTTTATAGATTATATCATGATGCCCTCTGCTCAGTAGGATCACACAAGCAGAACCATCTATGTAGCTCAGAGTTTTTGTCAGAACCAAAAGACTTGCTGCTTCTTACAGCTAGGACTCAGCTTATATTTAAATGGATTCCAATACCTCTACATTATGAAATCACATTCTAAAAATTCCTCTTTTGAAGGGCAGTTAGTGTTTTTGATGTGCAGCAAAGTCTTGGCTCCTCCATTCTCACAATCCTCTTGCCAGCTCATGCTAGAAAGTACTGCTTCATGCAATATGTCTCAGCTCCAAAAGGATTTTTTATTTTTTGGTCAAAGATGGAAATATAAAAATACAGAACTTCACCTCTGATGAAAGAACGGTCATAAAAATAGCCTATGGAGAAATAAAGCCAGGAAAGTTTAATATTTGATGAGGCAAGGGATCCTCTGTTCCTCATAACTTTTGCAAAAGTACTTTCTTTTTTTTTTAAGATCACCTTTTGTTTTGCTTTAATAAGCAGCTGGAATGAGACTTGGGTGAAGACACCATTGAGAATGAACAGATTCTTCAAACGCTCCTGCCTCTGAACTTGGCTTATATAAAAATATTTTGGAAGCAAAAAACCTGAAAGTGTTTTCTCACTGCATCGCTAGGACACTCATGTGTCTGTTTTAAAATCCATTAAAATTATACAAATTCTTCCACACATCAATTGGCTTTGATTTAGTCAGTTTATTGAGTCTGATTAACTTCCGATATTGGAAGGAAACTTTGCACACATACCATGGACAAACCTAGAGCCAAAACTTTGTGCCAAAATGCTTCAGAGGCTGCAAGGTTATCTGACAAACTGCATCCCAACATGGCTTTCTTCAAAAGGGTTTTTTTTAGCCACGTATTTCTATTGCAATTCATGCTTGAAGACTAGAGAGAGCTTCAAGCATATTACAGAAGCCTCAGCACTCCCCCAAAATTGGTATTGTTCCTTGTTTGTAAATCATTCCTTGTAAAAAGGGATTACACTAAGATGGAGAGTGTGTATGGCTTGTGCTGTTGGCAGCAGGGCTGACAGAAAAAAAAAAAAAAAGGCAAACTTCATGTCCAGTCTGTTGTTTTCCACACTACTTAACAGAGGAGCATAGCCTGACAATGCTCGGCCAGTATTCTGGAAAATTAACCTCTGTAATCGAGTTTTTGAAAACTATCTGGCTGTTATCTGCATGGAAAAGCCCTAAATCCAAAGCACTGCACTTCAAAAAGGCACAGAAAACCACAAAGTATCTGCAGGACAGCTTTAGTAACAGGAGAGAGCACTTTAAACCACTGAATCTGCCAACATGAATTCATCCCAGATTGCATAACAGCTTGGCTTTGCCAGTCATGCAGGAGGTCTCGGCCACAGAAAACATGTTTGGTCACCTTCATTTTTCACACCTGTGCAGGTTTCACAAAGCCATGGCTACTGCCTGACACTGTCACTGGCCAGCCCCCAGTGCCATCACTGAGTGTGGCCACCCTCACTGGGAAAGGTCACTCGTGTCACTAGACATCCAGGCTCCATCCAGGTTATATAAACCTGCAGGAAAATTTCACCCACCCCGAGTGCTCAGGGATACCTGGCCTCTATGGAACATGGAAACAGCTTTTTCCACACTGCCCTTGAGAAAGAAAAAAAAAAAAAATTCTCTGTGCTTCCATGGCCTTTCAGGAGGCATTTAACAAAAACTGCCTGCCAAGAAAGATACTGCAGTTACCACAATTTCCTACCCTAAGTACAGCGAGGCAGGGACAAGGCAACATCCCAGGGACCATGAAGTTGTGGCTGATGCAAATGTTCACGGTGGCCAAGCCAAATGTTCACAACACACACTGAAAACATGCCAGAAATGCACACGCTGGAAAGGAGACAACGTATGGAGCCTTCTGTAGTACAACATCAGCTCTCACTTAAGGCAAGAGGAAAGAAAAGTGAGATAGAAAAACAGCCAAACACTTTCAGCAAGGAAAAACACGTTGATAAAAATACCATTAAAGTAACATTAATGTCAAGGTATCATTAGCACCTGCAAAAGATTTCAGGCAGCTACACCTAAAATTGAATATTCACGTCGCTCGAGCCTGTCGTAGGAACTGTATTTTATAAAAAAAATCAGTTTTCAAAATAATTTTAGCCTAACCTGATCAGTAGTTTCAACAGACAAATTATGAAAACTTGCTCTTTTCAGAGCAACAGGTTCTAATTTTTCTATATAAGCAAAATCAAAACCAAAAACTCTTGCAATATCATCTTAATGATAAAATCAGTTTGCATTTTAATCAGGACACCTTAAAAAAAAAAACAAAAACCAAAGAATACAAGCAAAAAAATATTTAAAAAAAAGGTCAAAAACATTGCTAATCCCTCCTTTCAGATAAAGGAGAAAATGCAGCGAGCTGGGGAGCCAGCTCATGCTCACACACTTTCCACTGAAACCCGTACCTCCCAAAACAGCTGTTGCAAAAGGCATTTTTCTTTCTAATCTCCGAGTAAGAAACTGACACCAATTCTGACTACCCATAAAGGTTATTTATGGAAGAACCTCAAGCCAATTACTTCTTTAGGTAATGGGATGCAAACTCACATTCATGTGCTGCAATTGAGCATCTTTGATATCGTGCATAAAGCAGAAGACCAAGCTGTCAGTGTTGGTCCTTCCCCATTGTTTTCAAGCAGGAATATTTCAGAAACCCATTTGGACTTGATAAAGCTCCTGTCAGCTTCTCTCCTCTGGAGAAGCAAATGCCCTCAGCTCTCTGAGCTCCCAGCAGCCTCCCCATGGATTTTCATGCCCCTTCAGCAGGTGCAGGGATGGCACAGGGCGTATCTCCTTACTTTATTCCCAGAAGATGTCCCGGACACGCCGATCTCTATTCCCCACTGAGGGCATGGGGCACACGGGGTCAGGAGGCAGCATGGCTGGAGAATCCTCCCACCAGGCCACTCATGTCCCCTGCAGAACCCTCTGGGGATGGCTGGGACATCAGAGCAGGGACAAACAACAGGGCACGTCTGAGGCCAAAGGGAAGATGCGCGACCCCACCCAGGGAAGGTCCCCAAGCTTGCTGAAGAGGAATAGCTGTGGGCATGGGGTCTCTGGAGACTGCCTTGATCCCATTGCTAAAACATTTATAGCCTGTCTGGGCCATTTATAAACACTCCAGTCTCCTTTTTAGTAAGCATAGGTTCAATCCTGCTCTCAGTCAAGTCAACGGAAAATTTCCCATTAACATTAATGGTCCCAGCTCAAGCCATAAATTCCTCCAGCTCCCCAGCCACTTGTGCTGACCTTTGCTTAAACTTCCTCGGATTTGTCATCATCCTTCTGGAAAGCAAGTCCTCCTGTGCTATTTTTCTCTTCATAGTTGTTTCCAAGTATCTCACTTCTTTTTAGTATCTGTGGCTTTCATCAATACAGCCTCACCTTCACATCACTGATTAGGAACACCACTGCTCCTGCTCAGAATCACCAGTACCTCTCTCATCAACCCAGTGTATGCTCACCATGCTTAGTTTGCACCCCTCTGCCAGTCCACATAAGGGTGTGATCAGAAACAATGCAGCTGTGAGAATCTTAGAAAATACCCAGACTGCCACATCCAACACAATGGAAACAGCATCTTACTAGCACATTTTTGCCAATTTGGAAGTTTTGTCTGTAAGGGCTACCTAGTGTCTCTGGCAAGATCTGCTCTTTGTCAGGCCAATACATATAATGTATATATAGGCATTTATGTGAATATCAAGGGGTAAGTGTTAGGACAGCGAGTAAATGCCTTGCAGAACCCACCACGTTTCTGCTCCCTGCTTGGATGCAGAGTAATGTCATGCCCATTTTACACCCAGCAAGCCATGACATCATCTGCACTTCTCCCACAGCCACAGGAGCCAGGGCTTGCCCCTCAGCCTATTCCATCCTGTGCTGGCTCCTCCCCACCTCAAAAGCAAATCCAGTGGACAAATCCTGATCACCTGGCAAAGTCACTCGAGAAGGCTGAATAGGTTTCCTTCACATCCAAGGCCAGCACCCCAAACAGCTTTGCTCTGGCCTCACAGGCCAAGTTTCACACTTGGAGCTAAAAAAAAAAAAACACCTCCAAGCTCGCAGCAGAGGTTTGTGAAGCCACATGAGCTCTGCCCCCTCCCACCCAGCCCCTGCCAGAGACAGGAGATGCCTGCTCCTTCCTTCCATGCCTTTGGCTGCTCTCTCCCCCTCTAACAACTCAGATCAACCCAAGAAGCTCCTCAGTTCTTGGACATTCGAGGGGGAATTTTCCACTTCCACAGAGAAGGAAATTTTCAGCTGCAATGCAATGTGTGCTACTGCAGCACAGCCTGAGTAAGGCACGCCACTGAGAGCGAGTTCCTGCCCCTCTTACCTCTCCACAGAGGATTCAGCCCTGCCTTGCTCTTGGAAAGGGCAGTCTCTGAACTGAAGCTACTGGCTTGGCTCAAAGCTCTCGAGAAGTGTTCATCCACCACTGAACCGATGTCCCCCTGGAAGTAAGTGAACAGGACACAGCGAGAGTTCAGGTACTCCATCTCGGCAGGCTGGTCTTTCTCATCCTCCTCTTGCTTGCTGGGAAGGGTCACTTCCAGAGACTCCTGCATCTTGTTGTACACAGCTAACTTCTTCTGGGATTGGAAACAAAACAAACAAGAGATGTTTCGGTGATGGCATTCAGTGGAAGCTGAACTTATGGTTTCCTTAACAAAAAAATAACTGAATACAGTGAACAACTGAATATTCGTCTCGTAATTAATTTTGGACTACCAGGATATTTCACACTGGCATTTCACAAAGAAGAGAACACCAGCGCCCACTTAAGAGTCTCTGTTCCTCCCACACAGATGGACCTGCTTCTCAGGCAGGGCTCACAACCACAATTTATCAGCACCAGCCTTCACTCAAAACTTTCAAAAGAAAGCAAACAGGCTCTAACAATTCCCTCCTGACTCCCACCTGGGGAGGATATTCCATCAATAAAGGCTGGAGGGGTCAAGCCCAGCCCTGTGGAAGGGTGGCCAGGTACACAGCATCTGCATTTCACACATCCAGCTGGGCAAGCACCAGGTTTCTGCGGGCACACTCCTCCAGCTGAGTGTACAGAGCCCTCTGGATTCCCCACACTTACTGCTGAAGCTGTAAAGATGGGAGAGTTTCCTGCTTCCTGAAAAAATTTCTACTGTATTATCAAACTCCACAAAATGCATAAATTTTCACACACTGACGACAGAATTTTTACCACAGGAAGTTTTACCTCGGGGTGGTGACTGGGGGTTGCTCAGGGGTTTGAGAGCTTGTTTTTTTGGTTGGTTTGGGGTGGTTTGTTGTTGTTGTTTTGAGGTTGGGGTGGGAGGGGTTTATTTTTCTTTTAATTTTTTTTTTTTACACCAGTTTTTAGGAAAAAGAAAAAAAAATTCAAGTCATGAAAAATTAAATGTGATCTGGGGGAAGAGGGGGATTGACAAGTCCGCAAACACATGCAGAAAAATCCACCCCAAACCAAAAACACAGAGAAGCATATAAAAAAGTAAAACCCTCACAAGCCATCTGTGAATGGCTATTTCAGAATCTTCTCTCGCTCTCTCCCGCAAATCAAACCTAAATGTCAAAATAAATGTGTGTGAAGATCCATTTTGCATGGAACATATTTTTCAGATGTTCCACTTTACAACTGTTTTCACAGAAAAAAAACCCTCTCCCCACAACAGTCAAGCTGCAGGAATCACAGCTTTTAGCTAGCCAGCCATTTCCACAGCTGACTTTACACACAAGCACTTTCAGGAACCCAAAAACAACTACAGTCCATATGCAGAAATATTTCATAGCATTCCTATAGAATTACAGTTTGACTTATCTTTAATGGTTTGCTTGGCAACACTCTAGCACCATCAGAATCTCTTTAAGTTTATGGCTTTTTTACCCTTTTTCCAAAGTAGTTCTACAGAAAAAGTTAAACAACTACATAGTCTATAAAGTTTCATTTTTACAATACATAATGTTTGTACGATTTTAAAATAATCGAAAGTTGTTTTCTGACCTTGTGCACAATCAACGCATTTAAATTTATTTAATGTATTTAAATCAATAATTTACATTTACATCTAAAATCGTATAATCTGATAAAAAATCTCTCACTGCAGTACAAAATAAATGCTCCGGGGCAAAGTCTTAATTATGAACGGTTATTTTAAAAAATAACTGTAAGAAAGAGCTATTGACAAGTGGAATTAAAACCTATTATACTTAAAGCTTACAGTAACTTAAGCAACATATCTGACATTCCAGTGGGTTAACTGATAAATGTAAAACAGCTCAGTGACACCATTAATTCAGATGCTGTTGCACGAACTGCAGTGAGGGACGTACGCAGTTTTATTTCAGTTGGGGATATCCAGGCAATGGTCTGGAATTCCAGTAAATCTGTGCTTCACAAAGCAAGTTATACTGTGACTCACTTTAGCACAATATTACTTAGACTTATGGGAGAACCACTGGGATTCACTTAGAAAAATAAATAAACAAAAATACAGAAACAGCAAAATAAAGCGTTTTTACTAGAAACTAGAATTGCTAAAAGGAAACAGTCTGAGGCAGTAAACATATTTTTGCAAATGCAGAATTTGGGGTAACCTACACTTTTTTTGGAAGTGCTTCATGCCTTCTGTAAATAAACAAACAAACATCTCAGGAAAGGTCTCCTAATATTTGTTACCCAAATGCTTACTAGGATATCACTCGAAGTGAGCTTCATGGTTTTGCCTGAGTAATCACGGACCACTGTGGCTTCAGTAAGACAGAAACAGTTCCAGCAACGCTACACAGACAGGAGCATGCACTGGAAATCTGCAGCACATCTACCCCAACGCCTTGGCCATCCCTGAAGCTGCACCACAACTCAGATCCTCAAAAATGCAGGACAAGAGGCTGGGCAGGGCGCTTCTCTCATTTTTTGGTTTCAGCTGGGGCTTTGTTTTTTAAGTAAAATATGAAAGAGACGCTGTTTAGAGAAATCGAATCAGTTACGTGGCAGACCTTGAATGCAGGCAGCACCATGAGAAGTGGATCCCATCCCTACAGGTGCTCCTAGGGATGCTGCAGTGATGCAAATGCAGGCACAAGCACGCAATTACAGACAGACACACACCGCTAACACAGCCCCTGGCTTGACTCGGTGATCAGGAAGGAAGTCTTTCAATGTTCCTATACAGGGACTGGAGCTCAGGAAATTAAAACTTATCTCCAGAGTCGCTTCTCTGTGCAGGAATGTTCCCCCTTCCACAGCTTAAGAATCTAATTCGTTTTCCATTTCAACTCTCTTCCCTCCCCTCCAGTCCACGCACAGTCATTACAAGATGCTCTGAGCACTTGCTCCTTTCAAAAAACACCAAACCTGACCCTTCTTTTAAATGCAAAACAACAACAACAACAAAAAAAAGATAGGAGGACTGATGGACAAGAACAAGGCCTTGTGTGTGGATTGAAGCTATTTACAGTGCGAAGTTGTGGTTTGCAGTGAGTTATTTGCAAAGGATGACAGTTCTAAATTAAACGATTTTTCAAAACAGCAAGCCCGTGATAAGATATTGATCTAATTAATTTGCATTTCAGGAAGAAATTATCAGCCTGTAATTGCAAAACTCTTTAAATAAGACACTACAGTGAGATAAAGTGACTCAACAAGTCTTTCTTGTACACAATGTATATGCATCCTTTCCATTGTAAACATCCTTTGATAATGTGAGGGTTTTTTTCCCCTCAACTCATCTAAAATACCCTGTTCGCATATAAATTCTCTAATTTTTGTTCTGATCTTAACAGTAATCTTCTCACAGTATTTTTGACTGCAATTGTGTGAGTGGAAAACTATGCAAGATCATCAGCTGCTAAATGAATTTGTCCCACAATCATGGGGTGTGAGGGAACAAAAACAAAAAGCCACAAACACCCGGGTAGGTTTATGGTAACTAACCTCAGCTAGTCCAGTTTAACTTGTAATTTTTCATTTGAACACTTCTAGCATATATTTAAGCAGCCAACTGCATCTGTAAGATCTTTACAAAGAGTGTTTTCTGACCAAACACGGTGTTATCTCTTGTCAATTTTCAGTCCTTTAATATATTCATGAAATACACCTCTCCCTTCCTTACAATAGTGACTGATATTAAGCAGCCTCTGAAAAACAAAACAAAACAAAACAAAAATCTTCTTTTGGCCAAGACACAGAATGAAGAATTTAAATTCAGAATACAGAATTTAAGTAAAAAAAAAAAAAAAAAAAACAAAACAGGGAAATTCAGCATCTATATCCCTTAGTAACAGATCCTAGTTCATGGCTGAAATGGCACAATCTCTGGGTAA